CGGACCAAAGGGCGCGAGAAGGAGGCTAGGAGAAGAACATCGTAGGTAAGAGTGAAACAGGACCGCGAAGACAGAGAGGCGAGTGGGGTAAGGAGAGAGGACCAAACTACGAAAGACGAACGGTCTAAGACCCAGCTGAGTTGGTGTAGAGAATAGGCGGTGTCGAAAAAGCGAGATAGCGTAGGAGAGGTCTGGATCTGCCTACGACAGAGCGAGACACTGCTAGGGAACCTCTGGGCAAGGGGGACAAAGACGTCGCTAGAAACAGCTGACTACCGGAATTCGTGGTTCCGGAGGGGTGAGTACGACGAGGAAGGCACTTGAACCCCAATTGGACGAGGGCTTCCCCATTATACTCGACGTGCCCAACGATTTTACACGCACTTGACTCCATTCTATCTATCCACCAGACGTAACTTTATCGCTGTACGACCGAGTTTCCACGATCTGACGTTCGTTTTCAACGTTCGAACGCGAACTGCACGAGGAGAACGCACGACGTACGGCAAACGTACAACGGCCGGACGTACGTAACGCGTAGCAAACTGCGATTCGCTCTGGTTTTCGCAGAGATCGGAAATAGATCTTCTACTTTTAGCAAATACTTAACAGCGAACGTAACGAGTATTCTAGCTAAGATATTGTATTAATCGAAAAACCCATTTGGCTTGCGTCGTACGTCTCACGGTCGAGTCTACGAATTGATACGCGAAACTAAGAGGCTCGAGATCGATGGAAGATGCGGGCAAGATTAATTTTAGCGAGAGACGAAATTCTCGAATGTGAAATGGAGACCGTGTGCGCGCGCTTTTTTTACCAACGACCCCGGGGGGGTGGAAAGAAGGCGCGCTCGAGAGAGGCGCCTCCTCGGACAAAGAGGCAGGCGCGCACACATTAATGATAACTCCAAGTGTCACTTTGCACGTCGCTTTCACGCGGATGAGTTAGTTATTACCGATACCCCCGTCCCCCTCTGGCACGCGGTGCATTCATTCGCGCAGAAGGCAACGGAATATTTTTAGTTGGCTGCCAACTATAAATCCGTTATCTCGGCTACGCTTCATGACGGATACGTCGTATTTCAATCGACACACAAATAGACTGGACCGAAAAAAATTACGACCAGTTTCGACGTAACAACACAACAGCAACTTACATTCGACGATAGTATACAGCTCGTGTCTTCTATTTTTCAGAACGGAACCAAGGGGTGGAATGATTTGTTCAGATATGTATCGGGTTAGCGAACATAGAGCGAAGTTTTCGCGTTAAAACCGGTGTCCCGCCCGGCACCCGGTTTTCCCTCCTGCACGAAATACAATGGAAGGACGCGAGACGAAAATATCGCCAAGAGAATCGAACGGAGACGCGACTCGAACGGATCGGATGCGTAAGTTTCACGCGATTCGAACGTTGACCGTGAAACGTTCGACGAGGGCGATTTAGCCTGGCGTATAATGGAGCTGGGTAAACTCGATCCACCACGCCTTTCCCGACCACGTGGCCTTCTCTCTACACACTACCGACCCGCTGCTGTTCTCTCTCCCCTAAGCATCGTATGGTCGCTTCTCTATATTTCATCACGGCTGTTATGATAATCGTTGGACGAGAGAGAGAGACAGTGAGAGAGACAGAGAGAAAGAGAGAGAGAGAGAGAGAACTTATGAATGTAAACTCACCTGCTATAGCCATCCAGGGGTAGAAGGTATGGTTGGTGGGTTGCTGATGTAGTTGCGTGGCAACCGGTTGGCTCGCGGACGAGTTCAAACTGCAGGTGTTCCAGGACGACGTGAGGGACCTCGAGGAACTGTTGTTACCAGGACTCGATGCCGGGTCGCCGCCTACGAGACCACCGTAGCTACCAACCCTCGTCCCTTCTGGAGTGCACGCCGAAGGACGGACCACCGAATTGCTCTGACTGTTCGACCCCGAGGTCGCTGACTGCCAAACGTCCTTGACGGCCGCGGCTGCCATCACCGCAGCGTAACCATTCTGATGCGCCGATGCTTGATCTTGTTGCTTACAGTCCTTGGTTGCTGTGGTCGAATAGGAAGAGGTGGTGTGTCCGGTCGCCTCCGGTGTCGTGGAGTAAAGTTTGCAGGCCGTCGCGACGCTCGCGTCGTACGGCGAATCTTGAGGTGGTCTCGTGTTCGTACCTCCGCCTGGATGTATGCCCAGCGACGAGGACGTGTGATGATGATGCTGCGTAGATGCGTAAGGTGACATACCCAGGCCGAGAGGGAAGCCTCGATAGGCCGCGGCTGTGGCGGGATCGTGATGTTGACTGGCGGCTCCTGTCTGATGGTGGTGACTTCCGTAGAAGCCACCCGCAGTCTGCTCAAAGTACGAGTTCATTATCCCGGGTATTTTGAATCACTTGCACTGAAACACCGCCACTCGAGAAACAAAAAAAAAAATAACACGCGACAGCGAGCAGGCGAAAAGGCAAGGGCCTCGTGTTCGCCAGACGACTGTTCTCCGTAGAGATCTCTTCGAATCCTTCGAGAGGACGGAAAAAGGAGGAACGAGCACACGATCGTGTGTTTCGTTGCGTGGCTAGTCACGAGCGATGTTAAGAGTCCATGCTCCGCGCGGCCCGATATCTCGTTCGCGTTCTCCGAGTTGGTGGAAAAGGTCCGTTCACCGTTCGAAAGGCACCCCGACGATCGTTGGACGAGAGGCGAGAATTGTCGAGGTGATGGTCGTGGTGGTCGCTGTCGTTCCTACTCCGTGTGTCCGGTGGTGGTTCGCGCCAAAAGGCGTGAGGTAGGCGCGTCGCGTCGAGCACCGATACGCTGTTTGACGCGGCTGGCGACAGGTGACAGCGTCGACGAGGGACAAGCAAATGGGCATTAAACCGTTTTAAGAGGTCATAAAAGTCATCGGTAGGTATAAGCGGTTGCACCCAGGAGTGTCAATGTCAGTAGGCCGTAGATGTATAATTGCGAATGGGACTCATGGCAGCGGCGGGGGCTTTTATGGGCTTGTTATGGTTACCGCTACCGGCAAGAGTGTAAACCGGCGGTCTAGGTGGTGGAAACGAGCGATGATCGTTAAACCGTTACGACGCAATAAACCGGGGTAATAAGACGGGCTATAAAACTGGCTGTGGGTCTCTCTACCGCGTGCGCGCCCGTCGACGGTTCGGTCGGCCGGCACGCGACGATCTCTCCCTCGCGAAAGACCTCTCTCTTTCTCCTCTGTGCGTCTGTCGTATCGAAATGATTTCTCTGCGATATGATATTTCTCTCTGCGTTATCGGCGACACAGGCCCGGGGCCCCGTGGCGTGTCTCGTAAACGTTGGTCGTACTTTTTAAAAGGACCGAAGCGACCGCTCCGACTCTGTCCGCACTGCACTAGCACTAGCCGAAATGTGACTTCGCTGATGACTGCGAGGTTCGGTACGAAGCGACGTACGAAGGGGATCGTAACGAACCACGGTATGCCAGTGCGGTGGTCCACGGCACACTACCGCTTTTCTCGCGCCCCGTGTACCGCCACTCTGTACCGTCCTCCGTCTCTTACTCGCTCGTTCGCCTCCTTTCCTCTCTCTCTTTCGCCGTCGACCTCTCTTCCTTCCACCACCGACTTTCCCGTCTCTCTTCTCTCGCTCTACCACGATCTTTCTCTCTCCGTCTCTCGTCCACCAGCCCCAGCGTTTCTCCTCTTTCTCTTTTCCACTATCATTCCCTCTCTTCGTTCGTGAGCCGCGACCGTCTCACTCGCGCGCGCACACTCTTCACGGTTAACTCTATTGTGCGAACGAGGAACGCGCGCTGCTTTTCCTCCTTGTCTTTCACGCGACGTTCCCCTCTCCGACGCGATAACCGACTTCTCTCGCTTGCTCCGTCGTCGCTCGGCTCCCCCTCCCCCGCACGCTACGCCCCCTCCACGCTTATCCACTCGCCCTCTCGATNNNCCGTCTCGCTCCACCTCTCGACAACGCGTCGCGTTTCGTCTCGTCTCTGCCGCGCTGCTCTCTACCACACCGGCTCCTCTCTCTTTCCTTTCCTCTCGATTAGACTACGCAGCGCCCCCTGTTGATCGTTCGAGTAACTCAACGACGTGCCGCGAGATTAAATTCGTACACGTTGCTGGTGTGCTCCGCCGCGGTGTTGTACGTACGCGTTTTTGCGTTTCAGCCACCAAAACTAGATAAGACGACGAAGATCGACCAGATCGGAAGAAGCGCGAAGAGAAGCCGAGGAGTGGATCGCCGGGACGCGAGAAAATAAAAGGGTCGAAAACGACGGATAACCGATGGCAACGAAAAGAGACGAATACATGTTGCCGCTACGTTGGGGTGTAAGAGGTACGCGAGAGTACCGAAGCGAAGGTAAAGAGAAAGAGAAAGGCAGGGGAACGGCGAAGGAGCGGCAGAAAGAGAAAGAAAAAGAGAGAGACGGAATAAGATGCGAAATTGCGCCAGCTAAGAGGGAGACGAGAGGTGCTAGCCCGCGTAGATCGGACTGCGAGGAGGAGGGGGAAGAAAACAGGGTGCCAAGGGAGGAGGTTATGCTTAAGGACCAATCAGAATTGAATTCGTCACGAGTACCACGCCGGCACAGCACGAAAATTCCTACGCCATGTGAAAGTAGTTCCAAGCTGGAACGACGCCCATGACTGGTTAGGCGCCGCCCCGCGTTACCCCCACCAGTGAAAACACGCGAGCAGCCGCGGATACGGACACCGCCGGCCACCGTACGGTAGAGCGAAAGCTGCACGCCACGCGCGTCACGCAACGTTTCCTTTCCTCTCCGCTCCGTCCCAGCGGCCCTCACCGCGCCCCCACAGCTTCTGGGGATACGTGCACCGCCACCTCTGTGTTTCGTCGCGAACTAACGCTGCCAGATCCATTCAGACGTTCAAACGACCAACATCAACGAGGCACCTTGCGATTATCGTCATTGCCGAAAACGGTCTTTGGGAATCGACTCTCACGACGGAAGATCGTTCGATCGACGTGCGATTCGCGAAAGCCAGACGAACAGAGAAACGAATGGAAAGAGAAAGAGAGAGAGAGAGAGAGAGAGAGAGAGAAAGAGAGACAGAAAGAGAATGAGAGAAAGAGACGGTGGAAATATTTTGAAGCGAAAGGAACGCCGTGTTTCCCTCTCGTACGGATTCGTGGATTTCAGGTCGAACCGGTCCGAGGTTTCCCAAGTCTGTTCGTGGATTCGATGATGACGCGATTGCGAGTACGAACGACAAGAATGTTATCATAAACGTCTTTTACGAGATACTCGGACGTTTTACGAACCAATTAGACTACGGCCGTACAATTAAAACGCCGTAAAAGTGAGGTTCGTGAGGGAAGCGGGCAAGCGCCGTGGCGCGCGCCGCCACCAGTATCGGGAATGTTTATTGGGATGTAAATGTCGCTGGATTATCGCCCCCGCGGTTCGCACCTCGTAAATTATTCCGTAACGAGCCGAGTAATGCCCATCATAAGCTGCTCTCAGGGGCCGGACCGGACTATTTGCTCGTTCACTTTCGCCATTATGCATGTTTAGGATATAACCCATCGACTTCGCTACCAGCCTCCAGAAAAAAGATTTCGATATTTGCTATTCATCGAACGACGCCTGACTACGAGCAATTATTCGTGCATTGTCTACACGCGCTCATTGCTGCGTCTAACATCGATATTTGTCAACTTTCGTGATTATTTACGACGATATGCATGTTTAGTCTGCGATTTCATTTTCTTTTTCTACGATCATCTGTATATAACTAACTTGATCCGATCATAATAAATAGAGTAGGTTCGTAACTTAGAAACATCTTAGATATAATTTTTCAAAGCGATTTTGTTTCGAAATCGTAAATTGTCGGGCGTACGCGTCAAAGAAATTACGTTAACTATTAGATAAACGACGGTAGAAGCGACAAATTGAAATGGAAATGCCAGAGAATGAGAGAACACGTAGAGTTTTCGCGGTTACGATTGTTAGGATTTCAATGGATTATTACGAGCTGGCGGGACAATCATCAAATAGCCGAATTGATAGAGCCCTTGATGAAGAGACTTGATGCAGTTTTCGCTTTTGTGGGACTCCGACAGGTGGCAGCCCGTTTGCTTGAAAATCATGACGGCAATAAACTCCGGTTTTATGACCACTTGAACAGAATCGTAAAAGTCAGGGCCTTTAAGCTTATAGCATGGTAGGACGCGTGTCGAATATGGTGGGGGCGTGAAGAGAGCCACCATAACGCGGAAGAAGGGGAAGGGTACCAGGGGCTGTGTGGGTAGCCAAAATGGGCCTAAATGCCCCTTTTAAAACACCATTGAAGATAACCAGCCACCACTAAAAGGGGTTTATTTAATGACCAAGGTTGTTCTCACAAAACCGGACGCTCTGTGGCTACCGACGACAGTTACCTGATGGCTTCATGATTATTACGAGTTTCTTTTCTTTTTTCTTTTTTTTTTTCACACCAAGCGTTGCATGTTCGAACAGTGTCCACCTGCGTTACAAACACTCGTGCATGATTGTCGTCCCATGGAATAAGAAGAAACAGCAGTTAACAGACGGCAGATAGTCTCGCCGATCTTCGTGTAACGAGAGACGAGTCAAAGCGTTCTCGAGTTAATCTCCGCTCTTCAAAAATATTGCTATTGCTGGTTTTAAACAGACTCGTTTTAAGTATCGTACGTACACGTATAGGCGCGGTAAGACATTCGTTAATTTTCGCGACCAAATATTAGTCGCGATAAATCTGAGCACGTATCAGAGAGTATTATCAAGGAGGAAGGATCGCATGTACGCCAAAATGGATGATGGACATTCTCCTCTTATGGATTTAAAATAAAAAGAAAATGGAGAACACAGGCGTTCGAAGGTAGTGGGAGGTATTAGACAGCGTAGCTATAGCAACGAGAAGATGGACACGAAAGCAAAGGGGCCGTTGCACCCGACTCGAGCAAATCTGCACTCTTGCTAAACCAGCATCCATTCTTCATCGCTCTGGTGGCTTTGGCTCTTCTGGTCTCCTTCGGTATGGTTCAACGCACTGCTCGGACTCTCATTTTGGCTGGTCTTTCTTCTTTCCTCCTCCGACTCTTCGCCGTACTCTCCCCCGACTTCGTTTTCTCCTCTTTTGCCTTCTTATACCGCCTCCCTCCACCTCCCCGGGGAGACCCAGGATGAATATTCGATCATGAACGAGCGTCAGAATTTCAGATAAGCGCGATTCTCGTCGTCGTTATTCGCGCGGATCGAAACTCCTGGGGATCAACCTGTGATATAAGGCCACTTGCGCCGCTAGATGATAATGGCGAACTGGGCGGTGCATTGAAACGGACCGTGTTTTATATTTTAAATAAAGGAGGGAATTAGTTTGCAAGGAACTAATCGGGAAAAAATGAAAATTTAGAAGGGAATATTGGTCAGAAAGCGTATCGACACGCCAATCGTTTGTTTAGACGTACAGTGTAAATTATTTGCTGCGGAACTAGGATATATTCCAGTAGAACTGAAATATGCGTTAGGTATTTGTAAAAAGCGAGGAACAAGGAACAAAGCAATCGTATTTCGATGTAATGTTGATGCATATTTGAAATTTCTACATCCAGCGACGAGAGGTGAGAAATTTTGTAGCGTGAAAATGGAATTTTTTTCATTAAAAAATTTATATCCATTTACAATGCACAATGCGCATTCGTACAAATCGAGACAGAAAATTGCGAATGAGAAAATTTTCTCTAACGGAAGGGAGTGTATCTACCGTGTTCGTCGAAATGCAAAGTTTCGTTTAATTTAATCAACAATCGATAGAAATATAAAAATGACGAAAAGGAAGAATCGGTATGCATATTGATCTGCAGTATATCAGGAAGGGAGGCAGGATCGCTCGCCAAGGACACGGAAGAAGTCCTCTTTGCCATCTGGCGGTTTCCTGCAGTATCACCTGACTGCAAAATATCTTTTCTGCAGCTCTCTACAGTTCTCGGCTGCCGATATTTCGATAGAGCGAAAAATGCAGTTCGCGACTCAACACTTACACGGTACATAAATATTTTCTGACCCCGTTTCGTATCTAAATAGAAATTCTAAATGGCGGTTTCCCGCGGGATTCTGTTGCCGAGAAGCGTTAAGGGGAAAATGAAACGTTTACGGTTGCCAATCCTCCCTGCGCAGCTGCACTCGTAAATCGCGAGGTGGAACGCGAATGTTCAAATAGCTGAACAGATTAATATACGCGGGGCAGTTTCGCGTCTTTGGTTAGCTAATCTTAACGATAATTTTACACGCGGGCAATCTCGTTGGTGAACTGCGAAAACGCGTTGTTAAAACACGTAGTTTGAAAAACGGGCAGAAATGGTCAAAGAGGAGAGAGGAAAAAGGGCACAAGCGAAGACAGCACCTACGTCCACGTAATTGCCAACCAATTTATTTAAACACAAGCTGAACAGTCGTTAAACTTGATGGTGGCCTACCTTACCGGTTGAGGAACCTGTTCAGCAACGAAACGTAATATTAAGGAGCGTTCACACGAGTCTCGATCGCGAGACTGCGTGGCCAGTCTTAGAACTACGGCAGAGTAGGACAAAATTTCGAAATTATTAGCTCGAAACCTATATTTAATACCGTCGGTCGAATCGTTTCGTTTCGATCGAAATCGATTTCAGCCACGAAGGAAATAAATCGACGCGAAGATAATTGGTGAAGCCAGCTGCTCGCTTAAATCCTGTCCCCACTTCAAATATTAATATTAATATGTAATATATATATATATATTCAGCGCAATGCAACGTTAAATCATAAACTCGAGCGTGAAGATGCCATTGTCGATTTAACAGCTTCTATTATAGCACGATGAAACGCACCAACCATTTGCATAATTTCAGACGCCATTAAAATTACGTTATGAATTATTAATTTTCGTATCATTTTACTCGCGAAGATAGCCCGATTATCATTTTCTTTTTTTTTTTTTTTTTTTTTGTGGATAGTAACACGCATCGAATTATTCTCGATATCGTTTCGTATCCTTGAACCGATCAAAGTCAGTAAGATTGGAAATGTGCGGTGAACACGTGCGCGCGAGAAATACCCACTCGGTGTCGTTCACCCATGTGTGTATTTCATAGCGTTTCAAAGTTATGCAACCGCGAGTATAAACATGAAAAGATACGATTCATTAGCGTGTTATCAAGATAGCAATGAGTAGTAAGTA